GATTTGACTTTTAAAAATCATATAGTGATATAGCTCAATTATTTAGGATGTAAAATCATATTTCTTACTTTTAAAAAATGATAGAGCATTGGGACTTCGAATGTCATATTTCATATTCAAAAGTATACACCTCTCACCAATAGTTGAGGAATATGAGACTTTACTAGCATGCTCTAAATTAGACACCGTGTATTTTTATAGTCTACCGGAACAAGCACCCTCTAGCTTTATGCAGATAGTTGGACTTGATCTTGTGATAATGTTTAAGCAAGTAACTAAGAAGGGTCGAGTCGAGGGTGGTTTTAGAATCTACTTTAGTCAAAGTTCAAGAAATGTTTAGATGACTATGTTAATACCATCGGCCTAGAATTATGACACTAGTAATATATCGGTTGGTATTACTACAAACAACTAAAGGCATGATCAATTTTGAAGCATTCAATATATTTAAAAGTGTGGTGTCATTTAAAACTAATCCTGCAATAGTAATTTTAGTCGAAACCATCATTTAACTTCTATTGGAGGAAAGGTGATGGATGTTTGAGATACTATATTCGGTTGTTGTTTGTCTAGATAGTGAGTCATGTGATGATTGAAAAGCTATTAGGATCTTCAAAGCACTTTGGCATTTATATTAAAAGCTAGAAAATTTTGCTGACTATCCTTTTAATGAGATTGGTAAGGTCATCTACACTAGAATGTTCCTTAGCTTAGAGTAATTTGTATCATATTGGAGCGCATATTATGCATTATTTCACTCTTATTTGCTTTATTGTGGTAGATTTTCCTAGGTACTTCTTATTGGAAAAAGGTGTTGCATTAGCTATTGTCCGAATATGTTCTTGAGGTGGTTAGGGCTTGAGTAGTTTATTCTAAAAACTACTAGATTGATAGAATATTATTAAGACTTTAGAACTTCTAAAAAACTTATAGAGGAAGCTAATAAACCCTAGCGATCGAAGGAAATTATCACTTTATCAAGAAAAGTTGATGGGAAGACTTCTCATGGTTATCCGAAATGGCAATAAAATAAAGAGAAAGGGTACCAAATTCCATCTTTCAAAGGTCCATCAAGGCTAATAAGTGAGACCATAGAGGACATCCACCAAGAAATGAATGTTCAATATGAATTTTATCATGAAAACCCGAACTATAAAGTAAAATATCCAAACAAGAAAAAAATAAAGTTAAAAGAAAACTTAGAAGTATGAGACCAAACAATAAATTCCTTAGAGAAAAAAAGAGGAGCTTAGAGTTTAAGTCTAATAAATTGAGAATGCTTTAAGGTAGTTGAGGATTGATCATGACGCAATGGGGTTAGAATATGATGGTCTAGCTAATTTTACATTCCTAATGATCGAGAAAATGATCGACCTTGATTTTTAGAAAGAGGAACTTCAAGATAAGATAAAGGAACTTAAGACCGAGAAAGAAGATTTTGAAAAAGTCAAAGCTATCACTGAGGGTTAGGTTATAAATCGAGTTTGAATAATTTGATAATTGAACACCGATCTAGGGAGTTAAAATGGAAGAATCAAGCTAGCCAAGAAGAAATAGTCAAGATACAAGAGAAACATGCATGGCCATTTAGATACTAGTTAGAGAGGGATGTTTCAAGAAGAGACGTGGATGAATAGGAGTCGCGAACCATGAGATACCACTTGTAAGCTCACAATGCATAGAACTATGCCTTAGAAATACATTATACAATCGAATAACTAGCAAATATGAGCTCGTTATTGAAGAGAAACTCGAGCTTTTTATTTTTTTATGAAAGACTCAGAAACCTCATAATTGGTGCTACCTTGTATGATGACCTATGTTTATGGCAAGATTTAGAGTAGTGATCTACTATGTAATAAAGATGTTATGAGCTTTTTAACCGTGGTTGAAAATAGAAGATTGATTGCTTGTGGTCTAAATATTCATAGGATTGATATCTCTATTGTATTCATTTATGCTTTTCCTCAATATCTATTTATTTAAGAATATGTCAATTTGCATCATCATTATTAATAAGGTCATACTCGACAATCGGTTTTCATTTATGTAATTTTGAATGTGTAAATAGAAATAAGTGCATAGTAATACTCGTTATTTCACTTTAATCACAAGAGTTTTTCCTTGAGTGTTGGCTCTAGATTACTCATTAGAAAAGGTCTTTGTTGCATCGAAAACTCAAAAAGCTATGTAGCTTATAGACATGGTTTATCATATAAATTTGTTACTTCGTTCGCATTGCATTCATTTTCTCTAAAAGCAATGAAGCAACTTTGGGAAGTATTCATGACTTAGAATTTAAAAAAATTAAAATGAAAGTGGATCAGCTAAGAAAATGTAATCGATGAATTAGAATAGTGATGTGACATTTTTTTATCTTTGTTTATATCCATATTTTTCGGTTGTGCCATTGCTTGATAGAACCGGAGAAATTGTTAGGTCTCAACAAAGAAGAAAGTCTAGTTGTATTGTTAATGGCATGAAAATTAAGGAATGAATATATGTGATAAGAATCTAGACGATGGAATGCAAATCTAATAAAGTTGATGGTTATATTGATGGGTAGTTAGATGCTTTATTGTTTCTCAAAACCTAATGAATTTTCAACTTCGTGTTTGTGGATAGGGCCCTTTGTTGCCGTAGTTTAATTAATCGAAGTTGGTGTATCGACAGTTCTATTCAACAATCGTTGAAAATCAAAGATTGATTTCTTGTGGTCCAAATATTCATAGGATTGATATCTCCACTCGTATTGTAGGAAGATTTGTGTGAATTTATACTTATTCTGAGTATCTATTTTTCATCATAATATGTCGGTCTCCTTTGTTATTAGTTATAGTGTCATACTCAATAGTTGGTTTTCATTTATGCAATTTTGAATTTGTAAATAGAAACGAGGGCGTATTAATGTTGGTATTTGGCTTTAACTCATAAGAGTTTTTTCCTTAGTGTTGGCTCTAAACATGGTTTATCATATAAATTTTTCTCGCATCCGGGACTCAAAAACCTTTTAGCATCCGGACATGATTTATCATATAAATTTCGCATTCCCATTGCATTCATTTTCTCCAATAGCAATGCAAGTAACTTCTAGAGGCACCTATGACTTAGACACCAAAACAATTCATATTTTTTATATAATTTATTGTAAAACTTGAGGGACCATGCAATAAATTTAACCCATTTCACCTAATCAAATGTTTCCAAAAGGTTTACCAATTCATATTTTTTATAGTTTATTGTAAGATTTGATGGACTTTATGCTACACAAAAGAAAATAGAAAATAACTTTCTTTTGTTATATTATAATTATAAAAATTATAGTTATTGAACCTCAAAACCTACCTTTTTTGAATGAAGTTATTAGATACACAACTACTAGATTAAGTATGTGTGTGCCTTTCAAGTTTTGTTTATAGTTATATAATGTGTATAATCATTGGCTCAAGTACTATAGCAAAACTTAGAAATTTTTAATTCAATTTTAAGTTTATTAATTATTATTCACTTAATGGCTTAAAATGTAATAAATTATGCGTTATTTTTTTTATGGTCTTATGTTTTTTTTTTTTTTTTTTTGTTATAAAGGAGAGCCCGGCAAAAAAAATAAAATAAATAAAATAAAACACTAATTACATAGATTTAATTTATTTTATTACTTCAATAAATTGCAAATGTTGTATCCAATAGTTTATTAGATTGCTCATTTAATTTTTCAATGCTACTTATTATTATTATTATTTTAAAGGTTTTTCCAATAAAAATACTAATTTTTTTCATAACAATATGGATAATTTACACAAACACAAACATGTACATTGTAAAATTACGTTTGAAATTAATTAATATACCATAGCCTATATTTAGTAAATATCAACACACAAATGTGTTAGATAAATTTAGAAAGTAAAAAAATTAACTAATTCATAAATTACGTATCAAATAATATAAGCCATCATGAACGAAATGAAACTAAATCCATTTTTTTAAAAAACAAATAAAGAAAATGAAAGCCCATCTTAATTTAAGGAGTGAATTTCAAAAAACCAAATTCTTTTTTTTTTTTTTGGATTGTAGATAAGTAATTTGCAATAATAAAATCTAATATGTCCTCAATGATGATTGTTCTTCCACCCCTCCTAAAGGTTTGGATATGTTAATTTTCGTTATTGATCATTATAAACAATTGTATCTTAACATTTTCAATTTTGTTTTCATTATGAACTTTTCTTTCTTTTTCTTTTTCCTAATTAAGATTTTGCATTTTAGTTGGTCAAGTTAAATAATATTTTTATATAAATCTTGTAAAGAATATATTATGACATCCACATTTAGTATTTAAAAAAAAAAAAAAATTTGATATCATGAATATATATTTAGCAAAATATTGAGAAACCTTATGTACAATTCAATTTGCTTCCTTTAAAATATGTTGGGTAGGATTCTTACCACTGTTAGGATAAGGATTTTAATCTTATAATATATATATATATATATATTATGGCATCCACATTTAGTATATTTTTTTTAAAAAAAAATTGATATCATGAATATATATTTAGCAAAATATTGAGAAACCTTATGTACAATTCAATTTGCTTCCTTTAAAATATATTGGGTAGGATTCTTACCACTGTTAGGATAAGGATTCTAATCATATATATATATATATTTCATACTAGTATTTACGTAAATATTTTTTATTTTAATTTTAATTCTATGTTTTAGACTCCAAACTAACAGACATGAAGTGTTTTATTTTTCTGTTTAATTCCAATTTGGAGCTAACTATTGGAAATGATTGTTTTTACGCTGTTATTGGAGGATTACAATATATATATATATATATATATATATATATATAGGATTAAAATTTATATAAATAGTAGCTTTCTGGAGCTGATCAGTTATGTTATTTTATACAGCAGTGTAGCTTTCATTTTCATGGGCCTCTTTCTGGAGCTGATCAGGTTTACATGCTAACAAGGCCAATATTTCAGGGCTTGGCCTTATCATCTTCAGCGCTGAGTTTATCCTTCCCAATCTGCATCCTCGAACTGGTTCCGAACTTTTGTTCGCAGAAAGTATAAAACCTCATGAGTCTTCGTATATGGTAAGAGTTGCCACGAGTTCCCATGAACATGAAAAAGTGATATTTGGAACAGTTTCTGGTCAAAAGAACATAATGATGAGAACTGATGAGGTTTTGCATGTGATGACGCTAATTTTATTTCGTAATTTCCTTTCCCATAAACTTCCGTTCGGTGAAATTATTACAGGTTTTGAACTTGCCTTGTTTTTCTCCCCAGCCATGTAAATGGCAAGAATCAGAGAGTCTAGACCTTGACTGACTATTAAATTTCGCAATTGCTGGTTCATGTTTTAAGATTATTTATACTTCTGCATAAACTATTTAGGAACAACATACACTATGGCTTTGGTTTCCCTGTTTTAGTTTCCACGCCCAATGATGTAATTATACATGATACAATTGAAGAGATTTGATCAATAGATACAGGATCAAACAATTTCGAATATCTTTATCTTAAAGATCCCAATTTGTTTTTATTTTTTTCTTCTTACATATAATTAGAAGCTCTTCCTCTTTCTATACAGCAAGTAATAATTTAAGAAATCAGATTTCTTAGGGGTGTTATCCAGATTTAAAGTTTCCAACCTGATGTGTTTGGTATATGCTCAGCATAACAGAACTAACGACTGGACTCGATTGAACTTGACAGAATTGAACTAAATAATAGATGAGATTGACTGGATGGAATTTGACAGAATTGAACTGAACAATATATACATGAGACTGAATAAGTATATGTTATTGTCCTACGTTTGATACACTAAACGTGACAACGTGGATGAAGTTTTTGCATAAATTCATTTTGGTCTGTAAGATATTTTTAACAATTAATTTTAGTTTCTATATTTTATTCTCATAAAATTTTAGTCCTACATGAAAAAATTGTGGTCGTCTCAAATTATACAATTTAGTCCCTGAATCAGAATTGTTTTTGCAATTAAGTTCCTACATATAAAAATTCATTGTAATAAAATATAGGGAAATTTGGTCCAACTTTATTCAATAAATAAAAAAAAATGATTGATAAATCGATAATTTAAAAAATTGATAAATAATGATTTTGGTATTGAAAAAAACTTGTTTCATCTCCCATGGTAGAACAAAAATTTTGTTTTCGAAAAAATGTATGCACCAAATACTATACAGTTATTCGTTTCGGATTCAATAGGTGCAACAAACATGGTAAAACTTATTTTATCTTACAACCTATCATGTCTAGTACACCAAATACATCTAATATTTTATTTTGTTTAGCACACTCATTACAACAAATTTAAAATTTAGCTACAAAAAAACTCGCCTTCAAATAATTAAAATTCGTTAGTGAAGACATTTTGGGACTCAAAGCCAAATCGTCCCAAAAGCCGCATAGGTAATTATATTTTCGAACGCAAAGTAAAAATCGTCCCTAAAGGATATTTATTGCAAACGAATATGAGTTTCATCCATGAATGTCGATTATTTGTGGACAATTATTTTCGTCTTAGAATGTATCTATATTGGTCCAAAATTAGTCCATTTCGTTGGCAAATGTGGAAGATTTGAGTGGGGTAAAACATATTTGTTGACAAAACAAATTTGTCGGCAAATGTAACTATAAAATGGTGACGAAACATTTCATTCGCAATGAATATTTTTTGGGACAATAAATTTTGTCCCCGATTTATCATACATACATAATTGCATGCAATTTTTGTACACGACAAATTTTGTCCCCGATTTACCTTAACTAGGGATGATAATTTCATCCTTGATTGCTCGCTTTTTTTGGATAACAAATTTTGTCACTAATTTGCTTGTATTTTGGAATGTTTAGATGACGTTCCTAATTGCTTGTATTTTATGATATATATTCAATCCTTGGTTGCCTTTTTTTGTTGGAAGGTAAATTTTTTCTTTGTCCATGATAAATTATGGAGCATGAACCCACTAAGATATCGTTGAGGAAATGAAAGAAAGGAACCAAAACATGCATAAACATATATAGTGTGTGCTTACATTATGAAAAGTCTTCAATATGTTAAAAACAAGCACATATCAAAAGTTCAGAAAAATTTTTTCTATGAAAAAGTTCAAACTGGAACTAAGTTGTTCTAATAACTACATATTGTTTGCTACTCGGATTTAAATTAAACACAGCTAAAAAAGCAAAAAGTGACCTTAAAAGTTGCTCCACTTCATCCTTGTGCATTTGATGATCCGCATGAAAAATAATATATATATACAACCATTATTTTTTACTACGTAAATATAAACCACAAACAACACTTATTTAACCAATTATTTAACCAATTAAAATGATTTAAGTTGTATAGGTTACCCTGAAATATTGGTAGATGTATGGCGTCCTGTTGTAAGAAACATCTCTAACATCTTTTCTTGTCGTTCCAAATGAGTGGTAAGATCCTCAACTTTATTACTCAACTTGTGATTAGTTTCTTAAAATTCTTTAAGAGATTCAACAAGTTTCTTAATTCGAAGGTTGGAGTCGCTCACTTTTCTCTTTGGCTTTGGACCATATCCAAGAACTTTATCATCGATGACTTCATAAGCACTCAATGTCCGGCCTTCAGATATAGACTTTTCCATCAATTCAATCATAGAATTCCGAGCGACAAAAGTGAGTAAACATTTGATTAAATTTTGAGTGAAAATTTAATAGAAGGAGTTTGTCCTAGTGAAAAAGAATGACTTGATGATCATAAGGGCAGAAAGTGAGAAATAATCGGGACCCAATTAGTGATCATAAATGCTCTTTAGATATAGAGGTTTTTATTTAATATTTGTTCAAAACATCTCTAGAAATTCCATGCCTATGACATCGTCATACAATCCAATCAATGCTCCTTAAGGTTCCAAGTGGTGAAGAATGGGAACAAAAACATTAAAAACTTATATATTTGGATTCAGACCTCCGAATTTAACCAACCCTTCTCTTCCTTATAATGAGTATGTTTGAAAAAGGAAACCATATCACATTCTTCACCATTGTTCTTCTCCTTCTTATCTCATAGATACCAAACATGATTATTGTGAGATCAAAGTATAATGAGATTGGAAAATGAAAACATAATTGATATACACTATTATATGGACTTTGCTTACAATTTCATTTTGAACAACAACAAAAGCCATTGATCCTTGGTTGTGCGACAACTTCGACTTGCTTCGATTTTCAATATTTTTAGCACATCTAGCCTATGAAGGCAAACAACAAAAAATAATGGTTATTTTCAGTCCTATCGTGGAAGCCCCGCACTTTAGACAAGCTTGTCGCCAGCCAAGCACGCATGCTCGCTCGGCTAGCAAGCTCGCCTATCGCGAGCCGAGCGAGCACGCCGGGCCGGCAGAGCTTGCGAGCTAGCTCGCGGTAGGCTCGTTGCGAGGCAGGCGCGCCGCGCTCTATCGCGTGCTCGCCTCGTAGCGAGCCTATTACGAGCATCGAAAGGTCATAAATCACATATAGACACTAGACAGTGTAAGATAATATATGCAGTAACTCCATCATATCGGTTAAAGATGTATGCATTTTTAACATCCGCCTAACCACTTGGATTAGCCCAATAATTGCAAAGTGCTTTGCAATTATCTTCTATGAAGTTCTTGATGTCGGGCTTATTTTCTTTCGCCTCCTCAATCGAGTTGAACTTCTTAAAATGTTTATGTAAGTGATACCGTACATTCCTAGATCGATTCTTCAACAAGTCTTCAATTTTTTCATTAATAAAGTCATCATCTATATCTTTCACTTCCATATGCATTTGAATAATTTGAAAAAAAAATGAATTTCGATTAGAACCAAGAATTTAGTTCATGGATCTCCTTAAAACCTAATTTCATATTAGAGCCAAAGCGTACTTATATCGAGGTTATCCAATGCAAGGTTCAAATCTGCTACATTCATGTCCTTCCATTTAGTCGGCA